CCATACCACAACACGAAACTATCATCTTGATCTTCTACAAAATGTATTTTTGGTGAAAATTTTCTTATAATCCATGTCAAAAAATTCGAAAATAAGGATATAAATATAAAAGGTATTTGAATCTGAATAAAGTAACGCACTAGCAAAAGAAATTCAATGGAAAAAGAAAAAGGAAAAGGAGGGGGAAAAATGTTATGATCGGTACTTTCCTCTGATCGTCCCTGAAGTGAGTTGCTAGAAAAATAGCAATTGTATTCACTTGTAATCGCTAGTCCACTAGTGTCAAAGTCGCTAGTTTTCTACCGATCCCCCTCTTTTCAAAATTTTCCTTTTCATTTATTTTATTTCTCTTACCATAACTACAAACTATCATATTCATGTTCTTCAAAATATATTTTCCATGCTAAATCTATTATAATTAATATTTAAACACTTGAAATTAATGATTTAAAACCTAAATTTAAAGATACTCTCAAATTTTCAACTTAAAAAATCAATTAAAAAAAAAATAGTTTCAGGAGCTAATAAACGGTATGACGTCCAAAGGTCTTCCAATATTTTCCTTAACTCCGATGCAAATATTTCCTAAAGCTAAAAATTTCAAATTTTCACAAAAATTGTGATTTATAACCAATACTTCTCTAATCGATGTTGAGAACTTTTACAATATTCATTATAAACTTATAAGCCAAAGTTATAGTCATTTTACTCGCACCACATGTTTCCTAAAATTAAGTTAGCACATTTCAAAGATTTTGGACACCTACAAATCTCGTTTGGGAGACCCCACTGTTAGTTTTCATTTTTTCTTTCTATTTTTCAACTTCAAAAAATTAACGAGAAATAGTTTTGGGGCTTAATAAAGGATAAAATCACATCAAGTGAACATTTTCGTTAATTCCCGCGTAAAATGTTTTCTAGAGCTAAAGGTTATGGTTTAGTAATTAGTAATTATGACTCACTAATTAATTTTATGTAGTTAATAAGTGTCAGGTTTAGTGATTTTTCAATAGTTATTGGAATCTAAATATTTTTAGATTAAAACGGCTATAAAATTAACACGCCCCTAAACACTTGAACTCAAGGTGTTACTATTCACGTGCCCCTAAACACTAAACCTCATGGGCCTCCACTGCTTCTACGGTGTCTTGAACTTTGTAGTGGGCATAAGTTTGGGTTTAGGCGTGAGTTTGGACTACGTCTAAACCATTAATTTTATTTATTTAAAGTTATTTTTTATTTTTTATTTTTGTTAAATTTTTGTCTTGCCCATACCACAACACGAAACTATCATCTTGATCATTTCCAAGATTTTGGACACCTACAAATCTCTTTTGGAAGACCCCACTGTTAGTTTTCATTTTTTCTTTCTATTTTTCAACTTCAAAAAATTAACCAAAAATAGTTTGGGGGCTTAATAAAGGATAAAATCAGTGTAATTATACCTCCGCGGCGGCACCGTTCTCTTTTTTTTTTTAATGTCAACAACACTCTTTTTTTTTATTTTTATGGAAGCTCTTTTTTTACGTCTGACAAGTTTGCATCAAATGGGTTGCTTGACTCCAAGCCCAGCAGTGATGCCTGCTCCCTCGTCTGTAAGCGCTAGCTCGCCCTCGAGCGCCTCAGCAGCACCGCGCTCTGCATCGGCACCACCGGCAGCCCGGACCTCATCGTCGGCCTCCTCACCACCAATTCCGCAACGTCCGCACTGTTCACATTGACGAGCGCCTTAACCCTTCGTCGGTGAGGCTGCATTCTGCCAATGGCTCCGACGACAACGTGCTTGATTTGAACAGCTTATCGGACGCCGGTATGACTGCTATCAGCGACAGATTACCCAGGTTCGAAAAGCTGAGCTTAATCTGGTGCTCCAATGCCTTCAGTATCGGTCTAATTTTGCTGATAAGTGTAAATTGTTGAAATCATTGGATTTGCAGGCAAGTATTTGCTTAATTGGCTTCTAATCTCTTCTGTTATTGCTTTGTTAGAGTTGAATTTTTAATGCTTGAAGTCTGCAATTCTTCGTTTGAATACTTAACTGGAAATTATCGATACATTCCTAAATGGGTTTCTTTTGGGATAATGTGTTGCAGTCTTGCTTTCGAATAATGTTATTCCTACACTTTTAAGATTACGGAGACAGAGAGAAAATGGCTAACAGAGAATAAATGTGTGAGAGCCTGGAGAGTGAGCCGAGAGGAGGTACAATAACACAGACAGAAAGAGGGAAGAGAGAAGAAGGCTAAAAAGAAAGAGTGGTTGGACACTTTTATCCCTACATTTAACTGAGGTTCAACAGAAATCTCACATTTGGGTGAAATTTGCTAATAACCTTCACCACAAGGGTTTAAATCTTATTTTTTTTACCACAGGGCAATTTTCTGAATACTTTATCACCACGGGACCATAAATCCAATTTACAATACTACGACATCTTACTAGGAGAAATTGTAGACTTTTCTAGCATAATTAATCCTCCTTGTCTCTTGCTTTGCTTTTCTTGTTGCGGAAGAACCGGCAACCAGGCAAGATATTGCTACAGGATCTTATTTCGTTGATCAGACTAACTAAAACAAAGAATTTGGCATCAGCTTCTCCATAGTATCACTATCATTATTTCCTAATTTTTGTAGAATAACTACACTCTGAGTTGTGCGTACCTCATGCTTATTTATAATGTTTCAATCAAATAAAGTAAAAAAATCGAAAATCAACGGACAAAAACATAAAGGATGTGCAACTAGAGAAAATGATTGTGTAGAAAATTTCTTAGGATTTTATTTTAACGGGGATGATGAACCCCTGTTGTATTTATTATAATATAATTGTGATTTAATTCCCTCGGAATCAATCTTGTATTTCGTGTTTTTGATACACGTAAGATTGATTGAGTTCTTGACAATTATGTAATTATGATACCTAACTGATAGGCTAAGAAAGTGGGATTTGAGATTCTTTTATGGACGAAACCATAATGCCTTAGCCAGTATAAATTGCAAACCCTAGATACACAACAAACCGAACCTGACAGACACATTTTATCCTTTTGGGAGGTTTCCCATAAAGTAGTTGTATCCGGCTAGGTGCTTGTAGAATATCTCGATATTGCAAAAGCTTTTCTTCATGTTCAAACTGATTCCATGGATGCTGGAGCCACATCAGGTTAGTCATCTTTCTTTTATTATTGTGTTTTAATCGTATATTCACACAAAAATATGTGAAGATGGAAGTTCATAACGAATTAATTAGTACCTTGTTGTGCTGCCGTTGCTGCTAGTAGTACTTCCATTACTGCAACCTGTGCCACTTTTTTATTTAGGAAAAACGTACGCATCTTACACCAGTATCTTTGTGGTTCTTAGGTTCCCCAGCTGACGGCCTTGGTGAGACTTTCGAGCGATTCTCAGGTGCTTTTTCTTTCTTCTTTGAACCTAGAAAAGTTGGAAAGAACACCTTAATTCAGAAATTTCACTTCCATGCTTCAAATCCTTGATATCTGGCGTGTCGTATTATTGCTTTTCTTCTTTTTAATCTTTTGCTTCCTGATTTGGGGTTCAATGTGAAAATTAAAACTCGTCTCTTGGGCATCATTTTCTTCTTTAAACCCCTTCATACTTTGTTGTTCATCCATGAGGTTCATCCTACTTTGAAGAATCCCTTGTCTTCGCGATGTTGGAAAAGGAATGTTATAATGATGGTTGTGTGGGAGCAAAGGAGAAGACTCGCCTTTCAAGTTTGATCTCAACTTGTTTGTTTCCCATGGTACCGGTGAGTAACCACCAAAGTCGTCATCGGTATGTGCTTGTTTATGAGCACTCCCAAAATCAAAATCCTTTTCTTCTCTGCACTTTCATGATTGGCGATGCAATGGGCATGGCGGGTTGGATAGAGCCTAGGGGTGAATCTGATTTCTACGGACGTTTTGACACTGATCAAGATGAAACATATTGTGAAGAGGGAAAAGTAGTCGGTACTGAAAGGTGAAGCAAGTTGTGAGTCTAAGTGTGAGAGCTAGAACTAGAAGTGGGTGTAAAAGTATATCATGTCATGGGAAGATTTGGTCATTGTCATTTTATTCGCAGAGTTTAATAGGAAGCACTTAGTCGTTGCCATCTAAGATGGGGTAGTTAAGTAATTAAATAGCCCTTTTGTTTATTTTATTATAAGCTTTATTATCGTAAGCTACACTTAAAAAAAGGAGAGTTTAAACCTGAATCCAAAAGAAGAAGACATCGTATGTCCACCAGAGCAATTCACTGCTTGTTGCATTGAAGTGTTAGAAATATATATAGTGAATATTTAAGCTTATAAGGAAAAAAATGAATATTAGAAGTTGTTGCAGGCATACATCACGGTGATCGAGGGTGATCATTATAATGCCAAAAGAAGTTTCCTTGAAGGTAAAAATTGAGTATGGACTTCGACTTGTTAGTGGCCAAAGCCAAAGTTCCATGGTTTCAACATTTTGATAGGATTCAGTTAGGTTAGAAGGGACACCGTATGTCCTGTAGTCACGATTTCTATACGAAACTACACGGATTAACGAGTGACCATTTAGGTGTCGTCAACTTTCAGGAGGGCACCAAATCAATTTCACTAAAAGTCTAAAATAGTGGGGTACATAAAGAGAGCAACGTATATGCAACATGGTCATTGTAATCCTGGTGTCCCAATGTATTGTCATGTAGAAAAAGACATGTACATGATATTACCAAGTATTATTGAATCGATACGCTGTTTGGCTATAAACATGTTCCATGCAAGTTATTTATGTACATGAGGAAAGAAGTTGCTTAAGCAATAGTGAATGAAGAAATGAAGTTCCACAATTTCTGAGATACAATTTGAACTTGTATTGGTATATAATTAAGTTGTAGTTGTGTTGAAACCAATTGAGCTTCACTTGTGTAACTTAACTTTAAAGATGTGTGAGTTTAGTAAATTCACCTCATTATTGAAAATATAAATTCTGAAACCCCCTTAGACCATAAACCTAAACGCTTTCAATCACTTGAGCTCTGCAAACCTTAGCATGTAGCAAGCTCGTTATTGAAAATATAAATTCTAAACCCCCTTAGTGATCGTACATAAACAAGTAATTAAAATCTCACACGCTCTATACATTGCTATCACAATCCACAAGAATCTTCTTCATGTTATCAACAAGCTCTTGCATTTGCTCTCTTGAGTGCAATGGTGCTGGATACACACAAATACAATCCAACCGTCCTTCTCTTATTGTGTCGAAAATTGCAATGGAAGGGCCAACGCCATGAACTGAAGCACAACCCATGTAATCCTCCATTCCCGCCTCTCTTTGCACGTCGCTAGAATCATCAATCACGGGGTCCTCGAACATCGACATGAAGCTCGTCCTCAAGGAAGATGAAGAAGTCAATGTCGGGTTTTCGACGGCCTTGCACATCAGGAAGTTGAGGTCGGCCATGTCTGAGAAGTGCTTGTTGCTGTTCTTTGAGCTTGCAAAGGCCTTGTAGGTTTTGTTGGCCAGCTCCCACAGAGTTTCTCCTCCTTTGGTGGTGCGTGTGTTGAGGATGGCAGAGTGGTAAGATCCAGGAAATCAATGAGGGTGTTATAGTCATTTCAACTTGAAAAAGAAAATGGAAAATTAGTAGGGCTCACATGTAAGGATTTAATGAGCGTGATAGAAATGCATTATCTCACGTGTAACGATTAAGTAGGGCTCAATATTTGGAAGTGTGTAGTGCTACGGAGAATATTAAAATTGTAAACCGAATGATATAGTGGTTGATTCTAAAAAAAGCTGGGAGCTATTTTTGTATTTGGTAAACATTCAGCTTCAGTTTTTTTTCATAGTTTTGGATGAAAAAAAGCCAAAAACAAGAAGCTGCAAAACCCAGCTTTGAAAAACCGGCCTTTTTTCACATCTGTTTTACTTAAAAGTTTACCAAACACTATAATATTGCTTTTTTTTTTTTTTTTCAAAAGCACTTTTACAAAAATTTTTACCAAACACTCTGCTGCTTTATTTCACAACTGTTTATTCTCATAACATAGCAGAAACAACTTTTTTTCAAAGTACAGCAATACCAAACCAGCTCTATTACTCAACTGTTGATTAACTTGCTTAATTTATATTTTTTTTTGTCACACGATAGATTTTGTTAGATTAGCAACCAACAGAGTTCAAATTCACGTTGTCATGCAAGAGCTCAACTCTTTTCTAGCACTGTAGTAAAAGGCCACTTTGCTTAATTTATGTTCGTGATACATTATTTAATTTGCAAATTTAGTTTAAAATTTTAGTCTTCTTAACATTATTCTTCGAAAGTGCTCTCATAGTAGCAGAAGCGCTTGACACTGCTTCTCTAGCAAACAATTCTGCTTGATACATAGACTCATTAGGGGTTTTGAATTGAAGGAAAATTTGTGAAAAACATGTTCATTTAAGCAACATCAATAGCATGCAATTAACAATTAAAGGCGGAATCATGCTTGTATGCACTTAAAACAAAACATTTACCCATGAAATTCAAAGCCTAGTAGATAGGTGAATCAAGACTCAACTCAAAACAAAGTGAGTTGAGAAATCAATACCTTTGTAGATTCCTCTTTGCATAAGCAAAGGCTAATCACCCAAAGAGAGGGCCTTCATTCCTTGCATCTTGGATCCATGGATTTGGATGGATGAAAAGGTTTCTCCAAGTTCCCAAAATTGAGAACCTCTAAGTCTCCACACCAAGGTATATTGAAGAAGAAATGAGTGATCTAGAGGAAGTAAGATTGCTAGATTTTCCCCTCTAGATTAGCCGAATTCTTTGAGAGCAAAGGGAGGTTTGTGTTCTCATCTTTACTCCCTAGAAAACCCTTTTTTGATGAAATGGCTATAAAGATGTCTTTATACCACCTCACAATGGAGTGGCAAACTTGCAATTAAGCCAAGTTCACTACCCTCCTCTAAATGGCCGGCCTAAGGGGATTTATTGGGCTATTTGGGCCTTTGTGAATCATTATTCATTAAGTTGTCATACAACTTAAGTCAATGGGCTTGACGTTCGAAGCCCATTGGGCCTTAAGGTCCAAAACTATCCCGAGGTCTTCAACGAACTTATTCGTTTGATTAATAATCATATTAATTAATCCTTGCCATAAATAATTAAACCATTTAATTATTCTTACTCATCTCTGTTGAATCTTCAAACTCTACCTTACACGGTGTACGATCCATTAGGTTCCTTTTAGCGAGGCAGTGGGCGATTCAAACTCTTTCAAATCGATTGTGAATTGAAACTTACTTTCAATTCTCCCGTTAGTGATAATACACTTTTAGGGCTTCCACAAACCATGAGTGACACCTAGCAGCATATCATGGTTACCCAAGCTAATCAGAAGAGGTTGAGAACCTATTCAGTTTAGGATTACAAATGCAATACGGTCTTTCTCTAATACAATACTCTTGACCACATTGTTTGGATTGATAGTTTATTCATGTCTACTATCCAATGTGAATCTTGTGCTTATATGATTACCTTGAATGTGATCTGGAACGCATTCCAACATCTCATTCATACTCTGGCCAGAGATTCCAAATCATATCATAGAGTATTCTCCCTCAAACAGTTTGAAGGTTAGAGATCCCTTGTTGCACATTCACTTGCCTCCATGGCTAAGTGGCTTAACCCCGACGATGCCGTGGACACCCTGATAGAGTGACGTTGACATAATCAAAGATTAAGGACCTAACCACAAGACAACTGTGATGCCTCAGGTCAAAAGACTAATTTGCATTATCCCAACCATGAGTTCTCATGTGACATGAATATGAGAACTCTTCGTTGATCGTGTTCAGTGAACTCATTCTCTATTGAGCACCTACGTACTTGTCTTGATGTCACACACACCAATGACTCGAGACTAGTCACTCTCCCTGAGAGAAGACATAGCACGTACTGATCTTAACGGACTGTCAATGCCCAATTGACAATCCTATGATCAGGAACGTTTAGGATGTGTCAACGAAAGAATGGTCTCATGAATCTAACTTCTTTAGATCGCATTCTTCCAATCACATATTCCTTGGACTTATCGTTTAAGCATATAACATTTATATGAGACGGCTCAAACAATAATGTTTGCCCTTTAAACTACATTAGTTTGAAATGTCCGTAAAGTATCATCATATGATTGGTTTTAGGGCACATTTCCAACAATCTCCCACTTGCACTAGAGCCAATCAGCTTAGTCATCATTGATGATACCTCTTCTGTAATTCATTTCATAAATGGCTGAGTAGTAGGCCTAGACAATGGATATCTATATGTTATCCATAGAAGCAACCTTGAGAATAACGACGTCACCATTATTCATGATTCTCAATCATGTGGTTCAATCTCTCATTTGAGTTCGGACCTTGATGAGACCTTGATTCCCTGGCTTGAGCTATCGCCCCATTAGTGTCATACACTTTCTGGTTGGAACCGAATGAAGAGTTCATGAATGAACTTTCCCATCCAAACAACAATGTTGTAAGCTTCTATATGGCAATATATTTTGCATACATGATGGAACACTTTAAAGTCATTTACTTTTAACGTTTCCACCCAAATATCTCTTTAGTCATAATAAAGAGATATCTCTTTATCACTTCATTCATAATGAAGAGATATTCTATGATGGATTAGATTCATAATCTAACACATTTACGCTTCCATTACGTTACTCTAATTCTTCCTCATTCTTGAGGAATCCATCCTTAGTATTTCTTAAATACCTAAGGATTCACTTGACAGTTGCCATGGTTCTGATCCTGGGCTTGCACTGATATCATCTTGTACCGTTCTAGGTACAACTTATATCAATGTTTTCATACAATATGAAATACATAAATCACCTTTCTGCGTATGCATAAAGGATTCTATTTACGCATTATTTCTTTGGGAGTCAAAGGGTACATTCCCTTTGAGAAGAACAACTTCCTAGTCTTACTAGAATTGTCATTCTAATTGAAGTTTATCATCATATGAGAAACTTCCTAGCATCTCTTTGTCTATTTTAGAGATTGATATAATCCAATTATATCTTGAAATCTATCATTATAGATTTCCATCCCATGTATATAGATTATGTCTCCCATATACATTCTATCATTATAGAATGTTTAAAGTCATAACTTTAACGATGAAGAATTCCTTTCATTTTCAAAATTAATATATATCATGTATATATATTCAAATTTAAGAATATGATCAACTCCCACTAATCTTTTGTAAACCTAGTAAACAAAAGATTCATTTACATCTTTATGAGAAATCAAACAATTGATCTTTTCTCATAAGACGCTTATAGCTCCCACTAGCTTGCTAAGATCCATGATGGATGGATCTTCTTACAACTAACATGTCTTAGAAGTATATATCATATATATATGGGTAATTGATAATGTCCAACGAACTAAATCTTATTTATGTTCATTCTTCTCCTAATGGAGAAATTCATTATCTTACGATGCTACTTTCCTTGATATTTTTCAAGGAAATTAATCTAAAGTGTTACTTTTTCCTTGGATCAAATCTAAGGAGGTAAATACTTTAGACGTCTTACTCATCTACTTACATTTCTTGAATTCTTTGAAACCTTTTGCAAAGTATTCGGACTTGTGTTTATTCAAAATAAACTATAGTCCAACCGAGAGTGATCTTCGGTGAATGTCATACAACATGAGTAGTATTATGTTGTGGACAAGTGCCACTAACATCTAAGTGAATCAAACTCAACAACTTTGTGATTCTTTCTTCTTTCCAAAAGAATAAAGATTCGAACATTTCGCCTCTATACAATTTTAACAAGAAGGTATTGGATCCGGATCTAACGATCCAAAGCATCCATCTATGACCAACTTATAACTTATGTTTTTAGAGGTATCACAACTCAGTTGGGATTAGTCACTACCTTGCAACCTTTTGGGTTTTAAGCATCATCGTATTCTAAACAGTTAAACTACCACATCATCTCTACTATAGAGACAACCAATTAAATTACAATAATCTAATTATTGATTAATAAAGAACAATGTTTTGGTCAAACAAAACATTTATCCATCTCTACTATAGTGACGGATTTAAGTTCCTTAAAATTGGAATGTAAAGACAATCTTTAGTATTTTCCAATTTCTTTGGTAGTTCATATGAGGAAGTAAGTACAATCCGCTTTCGCAGAGATCTATATTCGATTCACGTTTGGAATGTGAAGTACTTTCTCTTCTCTCATTAATCTTCTACTTCTTATTAGCACACTTTTACATCAATTGTAAAACATAGTTACTAATACAGAATCATGCATTCAAGTAGAAGAACCAACTGTTGTGAACTTTTCAAGAACATTTTACAACACCTTCGAAAGGTGTGTTCTTGACACTTGCAAGACATTTCTTTGCAAATACCCCTTCCAATGTCCATCCTTTCATAAAGAAAGTTTGTTCCCTTGGAGTTATTTTGCCTTCTTCATTTGACTTCCCTTTTGACTACAATAGTCATGGTCCCTAAACTCCCACTATCTCTCTTGAAACTCATTTCAAATGTGTCATACACATCAAACGATTTGGAGAGCGTGCGGTTATTGTTCACTATATAGTTTACAATAAACTTAGTGAACCATTAGGATAGGGACACAAAGGTGAAGTCCTTGCCTAGTTTCCGTCTCGTTAAGTGGTTTAACACTTCAACACTCAATGATTCAAAATCATCATAAGTCCATATAAATGGACTATTTTTGTCAACCAACCATTATGTTCTAAACATAATAACAAACTTTCAAGAGTTGTTCAAGGCAACTCTCATTTCTTCATACAACAATTTGTAAGTGAAGAATCATGGCACATAAAGTGTCCATGCCCTTGTGCTTACTTCTCAAGTTCCTTGTTCGTGTAACAAAGAGACAAGCACTAAAGTTTGTGTTGATTAAGGGTTGTTCAAAGCAACTCTTATTTCTTCATACAACAATTTGTTTTTGAAGAATTATGACATTAAAAGTGTTGTCCTTCTCATGTTAGACTTATCTAACATACTCTTCCAATGATACATTATCAATAGGAAGATTGTGAGGATGAGACTACTTAGTTACATCTACAAGCCATTAAAGACAATCTATGGGATTGTAGAACTAAGTCCGGAAATTAAAGCGTTTGGTTTTTCTTTGTCAAGTTTTGGATAGCGTTTGCAAATATATTGGTAAACAAATACATAACGAATATAAATTGATTGATTTTAAGCCATTTGATTCGGGTCTTTAAATCAAAATAGCACCACCCACTATTTTTGGCAAATTCCATATCCCTCATCGGAATTCGAGAGTTTTGGAGGAAACTCTTAGTAGGGTATGGGAGGCTCACCATTACCAAGCCCACCTCACGATTATACGATGTTGGTTAGCAAAAATAATGATGAGAGAATAACGCTTTACTCATTTACAACTCTTGTAATTACCCATCTAGTTTGGCCTCTAGAGAATGAATGCCTCAGAATTTTATCATGTTGGCACCATTGCACTTAGTTAAGTTATTCCCACCATGCTTAGTTTATGTAGAGGTTCAAGCACAACCTCAGAATTATATCATGTTGGTCATACTCGTTGTCTACACTCACCTCATCATATGTGTATAGACTCCTCCTGAATGTAAGCATGCACTTTGTACTCCCCCATTATAGGGTGAAGCCGGTGTACAAGTCACAAACGATTGGAGCCTACCACGGTGGAAGGCCACGAAGAGATATTCAAAGCATCTCTCGCTTATCAACTTAATATTGGTTTGTTGAGGGTTTTAGGTCTCATCACATATAAACATACATTTTAATCCAATTAAAACATTTTGGTCCTATTACAACTATTGGTCCATTTGATTGATTTAGTTGTATATAATACTCCCACTAAGCTTTTAAAACGGTTTTTTAAAGCAAGAGTATATGATACTACTAACATAAGGTTTGCATTCATTGATGGACTATATAGTTGCCTTAGGGCCTTAGGATGACTATGAACCTTTGATTCGATTCAACACGAGCCTAGTGTTGAATCTCGGTCTAGGGATGGAGATTGATTTTAGTTACGCGTTTAATCACATTAAGGCGTGTTGTCTTATTGGGCGTTGGACCCAACTACTCCAATTTCATGCATATCGAATAAAACAAGAAAGGAGTACTTCAAAGTAAATAAGAGCTTATGCTCTTTTACAACAATTGATCAAATCAAATTACTTTAAAGTAAAGAAGAGCTTATGCTCTTTTACAACAATTGATCATATCAAATTACAACCAAAATTTAATCTACACATTCCCATGGTTCAAACAAATTTGAAACGGCCTTTCACATAGCTCAATTATCGTAGGCTTAGGTTCATAATCACCCTTTCATTAATTAATTAACGCTTTAACTAATTAAACTTGAATGCAACATTTTCATTTGGTTTTTGTATCCATAGAATTGATTTAAATGGAGCTAAATGAAATGAAAATCCAATTCTCATTTAAAGAGACAAAACAATTTTGTTCTCTACCTAATTTGGGCCAAAATGCTATGACCTCAACTTGTTTGGGCCATAGTGCAATTAACCACAACTTTTGGGCTATTTTGCAAAAACTTAAACTTTTGGGGTCACTTTGTAAAAAACACAAAAGTCCACTACTTCATGTAATTACAACTAGAACCCAAAATTTTCCACAAAAAATAAAACTTCATTAAAGGAGCAAAACAATTTGTCCTTTTAGTGATTTTGGACCTTTACGTAAAAACGTAAACTTTTGGGTCAAAATGCAAATACACAAAAGTATCAAAACTTTATATAATTGCATGAAAGCCCCACAAGGACCCTAATTGATTAGGGTGGTTTGCCATTTGAAACAAAATGTATAAAAATTTCAAAGTTTTTGTAAGTGGGGTGTGTGTAATGGAATAAATCATTACACACCAACCCACTAAAATTTCTTTAATTTTTCAAAATAAATATCTAATATATTTAAACATAAGAAATATTTCAAAACAAAAACTTTATGAAATAAATCAAAACTTTGAATCAAAACACCAAACCTTTTGTTCTTGGCAAGAACATGTCAAGAACAATGAAGAACATTCATGAAAACCCATAAGAGCTCCATGAACATTCTTCACCCAAAAACATACCAAAACCACTCAAACTTAAGGGAAATAACATACAACCATACTAGGGTACATAGGGGTTCCAAAAGTCACTTTAAAACAATTTTAACAAGTCAAACAAGAACCCAAAATTCCACCCTTTGGATTTGGCCGAATTTCCCCAAAAACATGGCACCAAATTTTAGCTCCAAAATTCATGCTCATATGAACTACATCTACAACATTTGAGATGGCAAATTTTCTAACAAAATTTACATTCAAAGAAGCAAGAATAAAGCTTGTAACAATTACAACATTCAAATCACAAACTATGAACTACAAAACCCAAAAGGATTCACCAACTACTAGACTTAGGCTCTTGATACCACTTGAAGGAAAATTTGTGAAAAACATGTTCATTTAAGCAACATCAATAGCATGCAATTAACAATTAAAGGCGGAATCATGCTTGTATGCACTTAAAACAAAACATTTACCCATGAAATTCAAAGCCTAGTAGATAGGTGAATCAAGACTCAACTCAAAACAAAGTGAGTTGAGAAATCAATACCTTTGTAGATTCCTCTTTGCATAAGCAAAGGCTAATCACCCAAAGAGAGGGCCTTCATTCCTTGCATCTTGGATCCATGGATTTGGATGGATGAAAAGGTTTCTCCAAGTTCCCAAAATTGAGAACCTCTAAGTCTCCACACCAAGGTATATTGAAGAAGAAATGAGTGATCTAGAGGAAGTAAGATTGCTAGATTTTCCCCTCTAGATTAGCCGAATTCTTTGAGAGCAAAGGGAGGTTTGTGTTCTCATCTTTACTCCCTAGAAAACCCTTTTTTGATGAAATGGCTATAAAGATGTCTTTATACCACCTCACAATGGAGTGGCAAACTTGCAATTAAGCCAAGTTCACTACCCTCCTCTAAATGGCCGGCCTAAGGGGATTTATTGGGCTATTTGGGCCTTTGTGAATCATTATTCATTAAGTTGTCATACAACTTAAGTCAATGGGCTTGACGTTCGAAGCCCATTGGGCCTTAAGGTCCAAAACTATCCCGAGGTCTTCAACGAACTTATTCGTTTGATTAATAATCATATTAATTAATCCTTGCCATAAATAATTAAACCATTTAATTATTCTTACTCATCTCTGTTGAATCTTCAAACTCTACCTTACACGGTGTACGATCCATTAGGTTCCTTTTAGCGAGGCAGTGGGCGATTCAAACTCTTTCAAATCGATTGTGAATTGAAACTTACTTTCAATTCTCCCGTTAGTGATAATACACTTTTAGGGCTTCCACAAACCATGAGTGACACCTAGCAGCATATCATGGTTACCCAAGCTAATCAGAAGAGGTTGAGAACCTATTCAGTTTAGGATTACAAATGCAATACGGTCTTTCTCTAATACAATACTCTTGACCACATTGTTTGGATTGATAGTTTATTCATGTCTACTATCCAATGTGAATCTTGTGCTTATATGATTACCTTGAATGTGATCTGGAACGCATTCCAACATCTCATTCATACTCTGGCCAGAGATTCCAAATCATATCATAGAGTATTCTCCCTCAAACAGTTTGAAGGTTAGAGATCCCTTGTTGCACATTCACTTGCCTCCATGGCTAAGTGGCTTAACCCCGACGATGCCGTGGACACCCTGATAGAGTGACGTTGACATAATCAAAGATTAAGGACCTAACCACAAGACAACTGTGATGCCTCAGGTCAAAAGACTAATTTGCATTATCCCAACCATGAGTTCTCATGTGACATGAATATGAGAACTCTTCGTTGATCGTGTTCAGTGAACTCATTCTCTATTGAGCACCTACGTACTTGTCTTGATGTCACACACACCAATGACTCGAGACTAGTCACTCTCCCTGAGAGAAGACATAGCACGTACTGATCTTAACGGACTGTCAATGCCCAATTGACAATCCTATGATCAGGAACGTTTAGGATGTGTCAACGAAAGAATGGTCTCATGAATCTAACTTCTTTAGATCGCATTCTTCCAATCACATATTCCTTGGACTTATCGTTTAAGCATATAACATTTATATGAGACGGCTCAAACAATAATGTTTGCCCTTTAAACTACATTAGTTTGAAATGTCCGTAAAGTATCATCATATGATTGGTTTTAGGGCACATTTCCAACATGAATTACCAAAATGGTGATCTGAAAGAGGTGGATCGAGACTGGACCGACAATCGGTGAGTGTCACTACACCGTACTTCATTTTATAATCCAGACGATGTTTTGAGCACTTATCCACTGCTATCAATCCAGCCGCCACAAAAAGTGCACATAATTTTATCCCTCTTGCCTTGCAACCCTAAAAATCAGTTCGATTAATTTCATTAACAAGAATTATAATTATTAATTAATCCATGCATGCATATATATATATATATATATATATATATATATATATATAGACGGTTGAATAACGTTGCGTCAGAAACTTTACGAAGTTAACTACTTCTATTAAATTGTTTCATTACTATTCATCGGTGTCGTTTATATAAAAGAAACTGTTATTAACGCTTCAAAAATCTCATTCTACACTCCTCACAAATGTATTTTTTTTTTCTAATTATAGAAAGTTTGGAGTACCAAATGAGAGTTTTAGAATGTTAATAACAATTCCCCATATAAAACTCAACACCTATTGGATTTAGATTGTACAAAGAATATAAGTTGAAGGCGTGTTAATTAGTAGCAATGACAAATTAATTAATAAAACTTACATTGAGAACCCTCTGAGTCTCGTCTCGATTCATCTGAAGCCTCACCACCTGAGAAAACCTTGCTGATTTGTTGTCTTTAAATTTCAAATTTGCTAGCCTCAGAGAATTGACAGAATAACTAAGCATGTCCATCCCACGTAACCACAAACCCTTATTTGCCTTCCCACTAGGAATAAGATCCTCAATTCCCAGATTAACCTCCCCTTTGTTCCCAATTTTCTTCTTTACCACCACCTCCCTCTCCTTTCCTTCATCTCGACCACTCATCAATCCCGCCAACTCTCTTAGCAAAGACACCGCTGTGGTGCGGTCGCATGCTGAGACGTGAAGCCTCAGCACGAGGACCCACGTGGTGCCTGGAAGAGCGTAGATACTCGCAAAGAACATGTCCTGATCAGGATCGGCAGTGTTGTGATGCTGCCACGTGTTTTCGTTTAGTTCATGTTCACAAATCAGGTGGAGGGGAGAGACTGATCGGTTGCTAGGGTTGGCTAGGGTTTCAAGGATGTTTAGAGTTGATGAGAGGTTGAAAGATTTGAGTTGGACGTAGGAAGTGGGAGATGTGACCAAGGAGAACGTGTTTGTTTTAGGGTTTGTATGGAGCCTTGAGCTGAGGATTGGGTGGGAGTTTTGGATTTTGTGGAGGGCAGTTTGGAGGTTGAGCATTTTTGGGGATTTGGAGAGAAGGAAGGCTAGCACCGTTATGCCCGTGCCGCCGGGGACGGCGCGGCACCAGCTAGTCTCGGTGCCACCAACTGGTCGGGCATTTAGCTCAGCTGCCATTTTCAAGTAGCTAGCTAGGTATAGTTGCTTGCTACTTTGCAGGTGCTGTTTTTGTTGTAGCAAGTTGTGATGGGTTTATATAAAAAGAGAGGTGGGTTTTAGTTTTTGTCAATTTCCTGTATAAATAAATTTAAAAAATAATTAGATAGGGCGGTATGATCTCATGGCCAAATCTCACGTGAAGTTCTATCAGCCTAGGTTGTGAAATAATAGATGCTTAGTAGAAGATTTTGAAAGCCTCAGGTGAAAAAAAAAACAAAATGAAACCCAAATTTGGTAACATTATCATGACTCATCTCTTGAAGCGTTACGCATGCAATTGCGATACTTGATGAGATTCGAGCATTCCTTGAAGGAGCTCAAACACAAAAAAGGGAGCACCAACTAAAAAGGGAGTTGGATGGTTTCCTTATATATAGAGGAAATTTGGAGCACTAGTTTCCGAATTTAACTCAATTGGAGCGATGCTCTTGAAATAAAAAAATTTGACTATTGGTTCATGAACTTGTCAAAACAATGATTTTTTTTCGTTAACTTCGTTAAAACTTTCGTTCAAGTGAAACATGTGTGTGTCACGTAAGGCGGACTTGAGGCCATGTCCATTCTCCATTTCCTCAAATTCCTTCCAATTGTCAAGAATTTTTAGTTCAAGAGTAATCACTCCAATTGAGTTAAAATTCAAGAACTATTACTCCAGTTTTCTCTATAATATATTATACTAATTAATAATTTTCACACATGCTATGCATGTGAAGAAGAAGATATTGTGTAATAAATTAAAAACAGGTTGTGTGAGGGAAAAAAAGTGTTAAATTACAATGGGGCATTATATTAAACACAGTTGATAAAGATAAATTTCTTAATAAAAAGTATAAATTAGGTGAAATGAGTTCTAAATTATAATTTTTAGGTTTGAGTTATTTTTTTAAATTTCCATTACTATCCTGTATTTATCATAAGTTTATCAAATTGCTTTAAAGTTACAGGGTAGTTGGAAATTTAATGTAAAACAGAGAAAGATTTATGGCAGTAAAAGTAAAGCAATATATTTTTTTTGGAGGAGTCATTTTTCACCTCACCGAATAATTGAGGGAATTTTTTTCTTACCATTCTCATGATGCTCGTCAATCTATTTATCCCCGTTATATGAGTTTAAATTCGAGATTTATATAATAGATAGACACAAATTTTAAAATTTAAACTCATCAAACGATGATAAATAAGGTGGTGATCATTACTATCATCTGAGGGTGCTAAACAAAAATGTATTATGAATTAAGGGTCTGTTTGAGAGTCTAGGACAATTTTTGCAGTAAGCGTAAATGTGTGTTTTTTGTTGGAAGTGCTTTCATTAAAAACATGTTAGAGCATCTCAAAAAAAAAAAAAAAAAAAAAAGAAGCTAAAATTGTTACATAGACATGCAACAGTAAAAAAATGACAACAAACTCATTGAGAGACATAACAATAATTGACACCAAATGTAGCCCCCATCTCATCACTACATTTTGCGCATGGCTCATTTGAATATGCCATTTATATCTTATTCGGAACAAATCTTGTTGAATGCTTCAAATTCTAGGGTTGATGTATAGTATTAATTAGATACTGTATACTTCAAAATGTAGGGTGTACATGCATTGAAATTAATAAAGGTTGAAACTTGAAGCGACACATCTTGAGTTTGAAATACTTTTAAAACTTGGCACCTCATATCCTCCACTCTTTAAGAATATTTCTTAGAGTACAGAGTTGTTTATAATTTTTTTTTAATTTATTATTATTAAGAGGATGACGAGAGTTCGAAACTATTACATTAATTTAAGTGATGAGGAGTTTCAAACATGGGATGCATGAGTAGAAATTCAACAACCTATATGTTAGAATAATAAATTACATGCAAAACAAACAAAGGGACTTAAGGCTCGAGAAATAAAAGTTACACTAGGATGTCATGAGGCCAAATGACTCTTGTTATATCAGCAACTAGAAGACATCGACAAGTTGAAGTAGCTTACTAAAAAAATATTGAACCAAATAACATGATAAAAACCCATACAATCCAATTCATCAGCAAAAATTTATCTTTTCATTTTGTATTTTACTCTTATTCCCTATTTAATTAGTGTGAATATGTACGAATTATTAAGGAGTTTAAAGCTCATTTAGTTATATTAACATTCACCCTTGTACTTGATCAAGTGCCGAGTACGACTCATTCTCCCTTAGTATCACCTATTTAAAAATAAGTATGCAAATTACTCAAATTTTATGATCCCAATTGGTCTAGAGTGCTTCCATAAAAAGTAATTGTACAACTCAAACTTTTAAATCTATAATTTGTATAAATAAAGTGAGAGGACAAAAAGGGTGAAACTTTGAAAATGCTAAATTTTGCCCTTCTCTTAACTAGAATTCTAAAATATTAAAATTAATTAGTTAGAGTTAAAATAGTAATTTTAAAATATAATCACTTATGGCTCGTTTACTAATCTCTCATCAGAAAGAGAAGAATTGAATCGAGTAGTAGGAATGGGAAGGAATCATAATTGAATTCCTATTGAAGTTGTTTACTAAAGTGTTTTGGAATCAAAGAATAAATGGTAATAATTTCATATAAGTTGTTTACTAATATGCATGAAGCAGAACGAAAGTTAATATGATTACTAAAATACCCTTGTCCTAAAAGAATTATTTTATATACTAATTAATAAAAAAATTAAATGCACATTTCTGTCAAGGTTAAACATACTACAATGTACGTTAAAATCCCTTTCTCAGAATTTTAATTATTCCAATATTAGTTAGACATTGGGGTATCCTGTTATCGAAATGCATTTTCGCATTTTTCATTAAAAAAATAGATCCACCAAAAAATAATTTAAAAATAGAAAAATTTGTCTTGAATTTAACATTGAAAAAAAACTAATTGTCACACACGTAGACGTGTGCCTCGAGGCTATTGTTTAGTGAAACCAAAGTATTTTTTTCGTTAGTAAACTAAACACAGGCCTTTTTTTTTTTTTTTTCAACCCAAAAGAAAATCATGGTTACTGTTCTTCCTGCAAAACTTGAAATTTTAAGCCATGTGAAAGGCCAGCCAAAAGGCCCAAAGTTAGCAGTCTCTCATACCCACACGGCCCAAACCACCTGAAAACTGCGCCGCAACCAGAGCCAGCAAAACATAAAGGACCAGATCAACCTGTTATTTGAGGCAAGAAACAAGGGCAATACAGTCCATTCACCCTGGCCGAAATTGAAAATTAAAATCGAACAATCATGACCGTCCGATGTAACATTCTTTGAACTTTGAAGAAGAGCCGTAGATATATTTATAGAGAGAGAGCGCCTCTCGAAATTTCAAATCTCACTCTCATCCCGCTCTCCTCCCATTTCAGACCAGTAGAGAGAGAGAGAGAGAGAGAGAGAGAGAGAGAGAGAGAGAGAGAGAAAGAGATAAAGAGAGAGAGATTTTGGGGAAGCGGATCTACTACAAGTGAGCCCATCATAGGTGCGTCGGATTCTCCGTCGCCTTCTCGCCACCGCATCAGAATGTCCGGCCGCCACGAGAAAGAGAAGGGCGTTAACGTCCAGGTCCTTCTCCGCTGCAGGTATTTACCCTTTCCCGCACTTCATGTCTCTCTTTAGGGTTAGATTTCTTGAAAATCGTTATAAGGCGACATTTTTGAATCATTGAAATCCCTAAGTACTTATCGATTTTGTTAATTGTTACTTATATTGTTGATTTAGGCCGTTTAGTGAGGATGAGTTGCGGAGCAATGCGCCGCAGGTTATTACTTGCAATGAGTACCAGAGGGAAGTGGCCGTGTCTCAGAACATTGCCGGAAAACACATCGATAGGGTTTTCACTTTCGATAAGGTCTTTTCCTGCAACCCAAGTATTGTTTTCTTTAATGTAGATTTTTCGGGTTTTCGAAATTTTGTAATTGGTATCGTTATGGTCAAAATTTTAATTTCTGTGGCTTCTACTTGTAGGTTTTTGGTCCTAATGCTCAGCAAAGAGATCTTTATGATCAAGCTGTGATTCCAATAGTGCACGAAGTTTTGGAAGGCTTCAACTGTACCATTTTTGCGTATGGGCAAACTGGTACCGGTAAGACATACACAATGGAGGGTGAATGCAAAAGGGCAAAGGTATGGTGTTTCAGTCTTGTATTGAGTTTTGTGGTGCTGTTGTCCAAGTTTTTGTCATTAAAATTTTTTGATGTCATGGCCTATTTAAACAGACTGGGCCTAATGGAGAATTGCCTCCCGAGGCTGGAGTTATTCCGAGGGCTGTCCAGCAGATTTTCGATACCCTTGAGGGTCAGAATGCAGAGTACAGTGTGAAAGTCACTTTCTTAGAGCTTTACAACGAAGAGATTACCGATCTTCTTGCTCCAGAGGAACTTAATAGAGTTTCTTTGGAAGATAAGCAGAAAAAGCAGCTGCCTCTGATGGAGGATGGGAAAGGTGGAGTCCTTGTAAGAGGTTTGGAGGAGGAAATTGTGACGAGTGCGAATGAGATTTTCACTCTACTCGAAAGAGGGTCTTCTAAACGTCGTACTGCTGAAACTTTATTGAACAAGCAGTCAAGGTAATGCAAATGCTTCTTTGACCGACTTCATGTATTCAGTGTCAACTTTTGTTCATGGTATTTTACTTTGTCAATTTCAGTCGGTCACATTCTCTCTTTTCCATCACCATACACATTAAAGAAGCAACCCCAGAAGGTGAAGAGTTGATAAAATGTGGAAAGTTGAATCTGGTTGATTTGGCCGGCTCAGAAAATATTTCTCGTTCGGGTGCTCGAGAGGTGCAATTCAGTTTGACTGTTCAAGTTTGTTTGTAGTGATAGGAATTGCTCTTTTAAGTTTATGCTTAAACTGTTCTTAATTTTGCGCTCTCGCAATTATTAGGGTCGCGCAAGGGAAGCCGGAGAAATCAACAAAAGCTTACTGACTTTAGGGCGAGTAATCAATGCCCTGGTGGAACATCTTGGGCATATCCCATACAGGTTTGCTAAGCACTTGTTTGC